TTGATAAATGCTGAAGCAAATATTTCACGTGAACTTTCTCCGGCTTTGAAAAGGAGATTAGTCCAAGTACTTCATGTTCATATGGGCTTTTAACAGATCTACATTGTTTGCCATAACCCTTTGATTCACACTCTTACACAATGGAAAATTATAACTTTCTGCTATTTAAAAAGCATTGGTTATTTGACGTGTCGCACGTTCTAAGTTTCTGTTTCTTTTTAATTTTTTTAATAATTTCTTTGAATTATTTTTGCCTTAACAAACTTTAACCAAAGTGGAGGATTTGCATGAAGATATTTGCATTTATTTGTGCTCTTTCTCCCTCCCTCTCTCTCTCTCTTTCTCCCTCTCTCTCTCCCTCCCTCTCTCTTTCCCTCTCTCGCCTCCATCCCCCTCCCCTTCCTCTCCCAACAAGGATTATTAATCCTGGGTTTAACTACAATAAGCATTACTGTATAATCATTATACAATTAACATTCATATACAATGGGGATTCAGGATCACAAGCCCTGACCTGTCGCTATATCTTTAGGCATCTCCAGCCCAGAATCTTCCTGGCCCCTTCTAATCGTGGGAGTCTTAAGGTTAAGAGACAAAACAGAAAATAGTCGGTCAAAATCAATGGAGCGAGCCATTTAAATGTGGCTTCTTACAAAGTCTGGTTGTTTTTGTAAGTGTTCCGAGATGCAGCCCAGCGTGAAGGGCGCTACATGAATGCAAGTTGTTGTTGTTACTGAGAAACACTGATCACTGGAATAATAACAATAATAATCTTTGTATTTGATATAGCGTCTTATCACGTCGTTGAGATGTCGCAAAGCGCTTTACAGACTATATTGTAAAAGTGAAATGACTGTATATTTTGTGGGTGAAAAGCAGCAGCCAATTGCACACAGTGCTGTCCCACAAACAGTTGTAGATTCAGTGACCATTTTTTTTGAGGGATTATTACCCTCGGAAAGCGATCCACCGATCGACTAACAACCGGGCTCCTATGTACTGGCGGGTAATCCGATTTCCTTGTTATTAAAGTGAAGGAATCATCAAGTGACATTACCGAGAGATCTGCGAGGAATGGCCTTTTGTGCATAAAAGCAGATGAAGTGAAGGACAAGGCTGCTACTGACTGAATGTAGAGATTGTGTGACCATAGGCTTAATGGTGATCACCGGATCTCCTGCTCCAGTATTGCTGGTGTCACTTTCTGAGTTGTATTTCTCGACCATCACCAGCAGAGGCCGATACACTCACCGATCAGAAAGTTAGAAGGAAACTTCACTCATTGGGTTCTCAGGTCAGGTCTGGTGAGTTAGCGTCACATCAAGTCACAGTGTTCGACAGACCAGCCAGCCTCACTGGTCAGCAGGACTCAGAGGGGCAGGATATCCTCCCACTTAGCTCCTATTATTCCACACCCATCACCCTCCCTGGTCCTCGCCAGGCTCCACTGGCTCCCTCTGTCTCAAAGAATCAATGTCAAGATCCTCACATATAAATTCCTTCACTCCCTCCCCAAACACCTCTCTGTTACTAACACCTCTCTGTTATTAGCACCGCTCTCTGACCTGCTGGCACACACTCCTCTGCCCACCCCTGTGCACAACTAACACAAGCTCTAACCCCTCCCCAACCCCAACCATCAGTGGCCGTGCCTTCAGCCCCTAAGCCCATAACCTCTGGAACTCCCTGCCTTAATCCTTCCATCTCGTCCCCTCTTTATCCATAAATCGCACCATCAAACCAACCGCTTTGACTGTGCCCACGGTCACCTCCCCTTCTCCCTTGCCCAGCGTCCAATCCCAACCACTGCACGGATCTCCGAGACATTAACCCGTGTGAAAAGCGCTATATAAATGCAAGTTATTGTTGTTGTTGTTAACCTTGCAAGCCAAACTCCTAATGGATAGGATGGTCCTGGCAGGGAAGCTCGGAACTGTTTGTGATGGTAACTGTAAGGATTTAGCTGGTTTAACTCGCAGCAGTATCTCAATGAGCAGGGTGTCCGCAAAGTCCTGTTACCCCCATGTAGTTTTTCTACAGTGCACTGATCAACAACTGAAACATGTGGAAGAACGAAGATAATTGTATTTGTATTATTCAGATAATGATCCATCGCCATGTTCGGTGCGATATCTTACATAACGTAGATGGATTGAGGAGACGCAATGTATCTCTGACAGTTTGTTTCAGCTCCTCCTTAGTCTCATATCACGTTTTGTAACGGGGGGGGGGTTGGGGTAACAGTTCCTCTGCACCCAAACTCTTAGAGAAAGATAACCAAAAGCTCTGTCAAAGAGTGCTCACTGAGTGAAGAGAATTGCCAGGCAGGTAGGGTTGAAGGAAGTCACAAAGGCAGAGAGGGGCAAGAATCGTGAACTATAAATTGTATGGTTCTGTAAGATTCGAAAAGAGAAGGGAGTTTCTCTTGGTGTCCCGCTCAACAATCACCCAGTTTCGCCCACAAAATACACAGTCAATCCACTTCACACTGTATTCTGTGAAGCGCTTTGAGACGTCTCAAAGTCGTGATAAGGCTCTATATCAAAAATGCAAGGATTATTATTCTTATTATATAATTGATCACTCATTTCACGCCTGTTTGTGGGACATCGCTGTGTGTAAATTGGCTGCTACCTTCGCCTACAAATACACAGTCGATCTTGTGAAGTAGTTTGAGGCATTTTGACATGACAACTTGCATTTCTATAGCGCCCTTTATGTGGGTAGCGAAACAGTGTTAAGAACGTCTCAAAGTGCTTCTACAACCACAACAACAAGATTTCATTTGTAGAGCGCCTTTCACGTCGGGAGGACGTCCCAAGTCACTGGACAGTTGGGTCAGGACCCGAGCAGGGGGGAAATGGTCAGGGTGAGGGGAGGGAAGAGAGGAGGGGGTAGACAGTCGAGAGGGGAGCTGAAGACACGGTCAAAGAGAAAGGTCTTGAGACCGATCTTGAAGGAGGAAAGGGAGGAAGCGGCGAAGGCACTGGGGGATAGAGTTCCAGAGCCTCGGGGCTGAGAGGCTGAAGGCCCGACCACCGATTGTAGGGCGGTTGGGGCGGGGGGTGTGGAGCAGACCGGAGCCAGAGGAACGGAGGGTACGGGCAGGTAGGTAGGGGATAGTAGGTCGGAGAGGTAGGAGGGAGCAAGGCCGTGAATGGCCTTGTAGGTGAGGATGAGGATCTTGAATTCGATCCTCTGGGGGATGGGGAGCCAGTGGAGGAGAGCGAGGGTGGGAGTGATGTGGTCGCTGTAAAGATTTGATTCTATAGATAGAGCGCAAAATAGAAGAGGAGAAGGTGGCCGAATGTGCAGCTAAAGAGACGAATTTTGAGGGCACAGAGCGAGAGAAAGCAGAACCATTGATTTGAGGAACCAATTGGTTTCACTTTGTGTCCTGGATGTACAGAGTTTGACCAGCAGGGGGCACTGTAGACCAATAACATTTTAAGCTGCTTTGCATGATCCCATTTCAAAACGTTTGAATATCCAATGTATTTTGCTTTCCCGGCAATGTTTGTGGCCACAGGTTCTTTGTTGAATGTTCCCTTCCTCACCGCAGCTTAAAGAAAATATTTTCTTGCTTCAAGGACTTCGCTGATTCTTTTCACTGTGATCGCAGGATTCCAATATAATTGTATTCCTACCATTTGATATTATGACTTTCTCATTGGGAGCACGTCTGAAAGTTCCTTACATGATTTACTGTAAAGTGTGGTGACTGTTTATTTTGTAGGCGAATGTGGAATCCAATTTTAACAGCGACAACTTGCATTTATATAGCGGCTATCACAGTGGGCAACATCTCAGAGCACTTAACAGTGGTGGAGCCTGACACCGAGCTGGGGGGAGAAGTGAAGTGACTGTTGGCACAGTCTTAAGAGGAAGGTCTTCAGGTGTGATCTGAAGAGGGGAAAGAGGAGGCTAACATGGAGGGATTGAGGTCTTGATGTCTGACAGGATGAACCCTCTTGTCTCTTAAGATGTACAAGTCAACCTGATTGCTCAATTGCTCACCAAAGAAAATACAAGCCTAGCTCTGCCATGGAATGATTCTGCCACATTGTTGTGTTGTAAGTCACAGGTTGAGTAAGATATAATTATGTCTGCAGAGGTGTAACTAATGAGAAGCCAGGTCAAGTCTTGGTCTCTGCTCTCGGAATCAGTTTGGTTTAGTCAGTAACACTCTGGACAGAGGTTGAATGGGGAACTGCAGCATTTTTGGAGGTGCGGATAAAGGAGCCCTTGGAGATGTTACACTGAGATTGCTCATTTGGGGGGGAATCCAGAACAAGAGGGAATCATCTTAAAATTAGAGCTAGGTCATTCAGGAGTGATATCAGGAAGCACTTTTTCACACTGAGGGTTGTGGAAATCTGGAACTCTCTATCCCCAAAGGCTGTGGATTCTGGATCAATTGAAGTTTTCAAGACTGAGGTGGATAGATATTTGTTAGGTCAGGGTATCAAGGGATATGGGGCAAAGGCGGCTAATAGGAGTTGAGGTGCAGATCAGCCATGATCTAATAGAATGGCGGAACAGGCTCGAAGGGTTGAATGGCCTACTCCTGTTCCCATGTTTGGCTGTTCTTCAGGTGGATGTTGAAGCTTTTGTAGGTTTCTCCTGTTATCCTGAGCACAGTGCAGAGCGTGGGATGGAGTTCCAGAGGGTGGGGACAGAGAGGCGGACGGCCCACCCATTAATGGTGGGGCGGGCGAGGCGGGGGACATGAAGCAAGCCGGAGCCCGCTGAGCAGAGGAAGCGGGCAGGGTAGTAGTGGGTTAAGAGGTCACAGAGGTAGGGGGGAGCAAGGCCATGAAGGGCTTTGAAGGTGAGGACCAGGATCTTGAACTGTATCCTCTGTGTGATGGGAAGCCAGTGGATGGGGGTGATGGGATCAAGGAGTCTGGTGCGGGAGAGGACATGGGCTGCAGAGTTCTGGATACCCTGTACATGGAAGTGCAAGCAATGTAGTAACTCCGGTAACAGAGGCAGCCGTCTCAGTTTAGTAAAGATTTTAATTCTGTAATTGTAGAGTCCACCTGCAGATGTTACAGCTGCTGAATGCACAAGTTACTCAGACACAGGATAAACCAGCACGCTCACAGTTCAAGTTAAAACAAACAAAAAAAAACACAATTCGACATCGTAGAGCAGCATTAACTGAAAATAAATTCAGTGCCTGGATAAGACGAGGATACATTATGTCACACTTAATCAGGACAATCAGAACAGCTTGGCTGAGTTTCCACAGTGCTGGAGAGTTAAATATGCAACAAGAGATTCAACCTCCACAATCAAGCCATTTTCCTTCCTAGCAAAACACCCTCCAGATATCTTAAAAGGTGTCCAACACAAACCCGATCACGTTGACCGTTGGCTAAAAATAAAGTAACAGCACCGACTATACGAGCTGTAAATCTCTGCCCCCCCAAAAAAAGTTCAGCTTAGCTCAAAGGAGGTGATGGGGAGAGGGAGATTTCACCTGGATTTAGATTTACCCAATAAATGTAGCATTTCAAAGTTTATGTCCGGGATTTGCTCAGTTCTTAACACAGTCTTTCGTTTGGAAGACAGGTATCTTTTGAAAAGTTCAAAGTTAAACTCAATTCGACAAATTCTGAACGGTCCAAAATTGTAGGATTATAAGAGTAAATCTAGATTCTGGTTGCGTCTCTTTCTCCCCAGAGGTACTTTGTTCTCTTAACATTCAATGTTACGAGCTTTGCACTGTGTTTTAATCATTCATTTACAGTCAGCATTCTGTTCCCAGGTGCTGGTACCTACTAACACCTAAACACAACCACAAACTCAGGCGTAGTAGGAGAGCCAGTGGACACTTTCACCAGTCAGTCCTCAGGCCGCAAGATTTCCCATGGCCTTAGCTTCGGGATCGTTGTCTTACACTTTCCAAAGGAGCAGAAATTTGTCACATTATTGAATTCAATTTGGGAGCTGATTTGGAAATGAACTTCAAATCAAGATGGAATTTTTTCGAATTTTTCCACAGTTCTTCCCGGATCTTAAAACTTTAAGGAAACGGGCCTCGAGGCTAAATCCATGAGAAATCTGGAGAAGTCTCTGGACCTCTCTCTAGCTATGAGAGTTCTATAATTCAAACATTTTGGTCCGACCTCAGATTCTCTAGGCAGAGGCTGGAAAATATTCACTGGCTATTCTCCAGTTTCAAAGGTCAATTAAAAGTGTTCTAGCAAGCGAGAGCACGGATTGTACTGTACAATACGTCTCCGTATCCTTCCTTAAAGGGGATAGGTTGTTTGTAGGACATTGCTGTGCGCAAACTGGCTTTCTTGTTTGCCTACAAAATACACAGTCACTACACTTTACATCTTGCAAAGCGCTTTGAAACAGACATCCTCCTGACGTGAAAGGCGCTACATCAAATGTAAGGATTATGACTTTAAACTGGAAACATGACTACTTTGGTGATGGTGAGGATTTTCCAAATTTATTTTATTTGACTTAAAACTTTGGCCAAATGAATAAGAAATAAAAACCAGGTTGCAAAAATGTTGATGCGGTTTTGTACAAACTTAACTTTTTATTAAAACGCTTAATGTGCCAAGAGATCTTTAAAAAAAAATTAAATCTCTCAAATCAAATCAGCCAGGAGCTATTAATAAACATAAAACTAGCTAAAGGGTCAGCAGATGATTTAATTCTACAGTCAAAATATACAGTCAATTCACTTTATAGTATATTCTGTGAAGCGCTTTGAGATGTCTCAAAGACGTGATAATATATCAAGTGCAAGGATTATTATTATTGTATTATTAGTGTAATATTAGTTTTGGACGAGATTTGTGCTGAGATTTTCTTAGCTGCGAGTTTCTATGGCAGAGAGAGGGGTGGGGGAATGGAAATGGACAATAACAGGTGCCTTTATTCGACACTGCACCTCTGTTGTTCTTGGCAACAGGACTGAGATATTCATACGAGATGACAAAACTCAAGGTTCTGTCTGCCTGTTCTTGCACTTTGGCTGAACGTTAAACATTAAAGCTCCCGGGTGTGTGTGTGTGTGTATAAGGGGGGAGATTGGGAGGTGTTGGAGTATTTCAAAGAAGAGCGGTGAATGCTCTCCTATGTCCTAGCCAATTTTCCTCCCTCGTCCAATTTCATCTGTTTGTAGATGTTGGGGTGTTGGTGGCATAAATTAGTTAGTTGCCGCGTTGGTCTGAGCATTTCAGAATTAAGCCCATTGTGTCAAGTGCTTCAGGATACTTGAACCTAATAAAGCGTTTACATCCGGAGGTGAGTAACAATTCTTCACAAGTGGAGACCCTGCGATCAATAGCATGAATGCACGGTGGGGTGTGTTTGTGTTTGTGGAGGGGGGGTTTGTGTGTGTGTGGGTGGGTGTGCAGCAAGGTGTATGTGTGTGTGTGCAGGGAGGTGTGTGTGTGTATGTGTATGGGGGTGGAGGGGCGGGTACTGGGATGGATATGGGTCTGGTTAGTGTTCTTGATGATGAAGGGGGAAGCATTACTTAAAAATTCCTGACGAGAAAATACGCACAAGACAGGTGCTAGGAATTTTTTTTCCGCTTTCTGTTAGGCACGACGCCTAATCAGCGATTAAAAACGGTAAAGCTGCTTCGACTGTTCCGTTACACCTCCGTCACATCAATTGGCGAGGAAATGCTTAAGACGCTGGCAAATTATTAGTCATGAGCAAACCCTCTGATCAAATATGCAACCGATAACTGAGGGTCATCCTCAACCACGAGGCTGATTAATGGATGTTGGAAACTGCATGGACTTTGTTTACACACACAGTAAAGCGATAACTTCGGTTAACTATAAGGAGGAATCGGGCGGGGGGGTTGGGGGGCGGGTGGGCTGAGAACCCTGCAGTTTAATTTTAAGGCATTCGTGTACTGCACTGCACTGCACTGCACGCATCATTTAAGCTACCGTGCTGCATCACTGTCACGCTCTGTGTAGTTCGGAAAGTAATTGAAGAATGACTACCTCAAAACTCCATCACTTTATCCCAATAAATACCAAATGGTCACGCCGACCTTTCACCTTTAAATAAGAACTGTAGCTGCTAGCCTTTCTTAACACGTTCCTCTCACTTTGCCCCACCACACACAAGTCCACCATCCACTCTGTCGCGCCCCCCCGGCCCCCCACCACACCTTACCCTGTGCCTTTCCCCACTACCTCATTCACTGGACTGAATCACGACAGAGCAAAGTTCATGGGAACCACCACTCCCTGAGTTATCAGGGAGACAGAGGCTAGTGAATTGGGACTCATTTAAAGTAGTAACTTGGTGCTGTGTTGGAGGACAAGTGGGGGTGGGTATTCTGTAAGGATGAGAATACAAACCTCTCTTGCGACCTTATGTCCCTCCCACTTAGAGTCTATGGGAGGGACAAGATAAATGGTGTGTTCTCATAGTTACTTACCTGTATTCAACAGGAATCAAACAGCACCCTTTTCAAAGACCTTCCTTTCGACCGTGCCTTTGGTCATCTTCCCTCCTCCATCCTCCTATCCTCCTTGCCCTCCCTTCACCCGTCTCTGATCCCAACCCTCAGCTCAGGTGCAAAGCCCTCATTGTCCAGCGCCTTGGGACGTCCTCCCAACATGAAAGGCGCTGTTATAAATGCAATTCGTTGGTGTTTATTGCTGTTGCACCTTGTGAAACAGTTGTCTATCGATCGGGCTGCTTTTGCATTGCAACACAATCGTGTCTTTCCCTTCTCTCCCCCCCACCCCCAAAAAAACAATCACATCCCTACCCAAACGATGGATATTTATCGAGATAGAGCAGTGGCATTCTTCAGACCCATTACATTGAAACACAACAATTCTGCAGCACTGCAGTCTTAAGCCAAATTCAATTTCAGTTTAGACGTATATAAATATGCTTTGAGACTAAAGTGAACACAAGACAGCACAAAAATAAGCAGTAAGGCAACAACAGTGTTGTAAACTAACGACTGACCACATTTTAGCTGATTCACACTGAGATCCATTACCTCTAGGTCAGGTTACAATCTAACTGTGTTTTGTAAAACTACAGGTCAATATGATTTTCGTCTACTTGCCTAAGATTTCAAGGTACGTTTTGGAATAAAATTATTTTTCTAAACTTTTCTCTTCATTTACTTGTCGCGACCAATATTCACCTCCAAAGTCTTACCCTCCATGGCTAGAATATAATGCAGGGCCGGGTGCCGTTAACACGTTGGTAACTTTTGAAAATTAAGTGTGTCGACAAAACAACAGTTCTAGCACGGGGGTGGGGGGTTGGGGGGGAAAGATCTTAGTGGGTTTTCTTCGCTGAGTAGTGGTCGGTTTGAGCAGAGAAGCCATTTGTGTGTCCGTTTGCAGAGCCGTTTAGGCAGTCTTTCGTTCTGGAAGCACTCTTTTTCTGGTAGGTCTGAAATTATACAATAATATTTAACATTGTTGTAGCGCCTTCCACGCCGGGAGGACGTCTCAAAGCAGTTTCACGCAAGTAACTGAGAGCCCGAGCTGGGGAAAGGTCCTGGGAGCACTCGGGGGTGGGGTGGGGTGGTGGGGGGTGGGAGAAGAAACGCCAAAAGCACAGTAGAAAAGGTAGGTCTTAAGGCAGGTTTAGAAGGCAGGCGGGCAGGGAGGGGGCAAGACAGAGAGACTCCAGGAACCCACAACCTTCTGAATGACAACTGAGCCAGTCTGACACTAAATACAGGTATAATTATTATAATCCTGCTTTTAACATCGCGCTTTATCATGTGGTTCAGGCGTCTCAAAGCGCTTCGCAGGATATTCTGTAAAGTGGATTGACCGTATATTTTGTGGGCGATCTAAAGAAACACCCGAAAATATACTTCCACGGACATTTCTTAACGTGGGCTACCAATGGCAAGTGACAGTGAAGATGGAGTGTCACAGCAATACGAACTGCTGGCCTCTAGCTGTCTCACCTGAATGTAGAAGTTAGTGAACAGGACAATCAGGGAGATCATGTAGCCGATCTGGAAGTACAGCCAACCACTGGGAAATCCACATGGCCAGACAACACCAAAGCTGGTCTGGATTATCGTCATCACAAACTGGAGCTGAAAGTTCGGACACAATTTAAGATTTTAATACCACACAAGTTTAAGAACTGGGAAACAATTGCCAATTCCAGTGAAGCAAAGGTAATAATAATAGTAATAACAATCCTTGGATTTCACATAGCGACTTATTACATTTTCGAGAAGTCTCAAAGCGCTTCACAGAATATACTGTAAAGTGAATTGACTTATATTTTTGTGGGCGGTAAGAACCTGTATTCTGATTCCACTTTACATGTCGAAACCTCTCAGAGAATTTTGCAGGAATTATTAACCAGTGTAGTGACTGTTTTCTTGCTGGCAAACTATAAATATATAAACCTTACAAAACGTATTAATAAATAATCCCTGCGTCTGGTAAATAATCATTTCACATCAGGAGGACCCTCCCAATGCACTTCACAGGATACACTATAACCTGGAGTGTGTTTGTTTTGTGGGTGAAAGGTAGAGTAACATGGCAACCAATTTACGCACAGCCATGAGGCTAATTCAGGAGAACTAGGAGAAACTCCCTTCTCTTTTCAAATAGTGTCTCTAAATCTAAGTCTAAACCTGCAAAATAAACCACGGATTGTCTGCAGCACAGTGTAGGCATGGGGTGACAACTGCCTTCACTGCTAATATGTGGAAAACACGAATTTAAGGTCTCAGGTTCTCATTTTGACATAGAATTAAATTACCTACTTTTTTTGGTTAAAAACGTCTCCAGTTTTTCACTCTATGAAACTCGATCACAATACAGACGAGTTTTCACTTATCAGGGTTTCAATCTATCACTCTCGTGGAATTACAAAGCTTTGAAGTAAGACGCGAGGGCATCAATTTAAGATAGTTAGCAAACGAGCAAATGGGAAGGTTAGGAGGATTTATTTCACGTTCAGAGTGGTTAGGATATGGAATGCCCTGCCCGGGAGCAATGGTTGAGGCAGAATCCATATTAGCTTTCAAAAGGGAACTAGTAAATACCGAAAAAGGAGTCAACTACAGGGATGTGGGGAAAGGGAAGGTAAAATAGGATTGAAAGGATTGCTCTTTTTAATAGTAATAATCCTTGCATTTGATATAGCACCTTAGAATATACTGCAAAGTGCATTAACTATATAGTTTGTGGGTAAAACGAGTATAGCAGTGACCCACAACCAGTTATATATTGAGTGAACAATTTTTAAAAACATTTTTTAAAAGGTTTATTACTCCCAGAAAGTGATCTGCCAATCGACTATCAACCAGGTTCCTACTTACTGTTAGGTAAACAGTAACGTGTGGAGTAAGGAAACTTGCCTAAGGTTTCGCCCTGCCCAGGAATCAAACCTGGGTTCTCCCTCTTGTGAGGCGAGCGCTCTAACTAATATGCCAAGGACCCCACAAAAGTCTTAAAAGAGCCAGCACAGACACGATGGGCCAAATGGACCTTCTTCGATGCTGTAAATGTCTCTGGTTCAATGATTTTCAGCCACACTCACCAACTGCCCTTGAGTGATGTATTTCTTCCACCAAAGATACGGACGCATTGCTGGGATAGCGGAAAGGCCATAGTAGGAATACATCAGGACGTGAATGAAACTGTTAAGAGTGGCCCCGAAGAAAGCTGCAAAATAAACCACAGGGGGGCAATTCAGCACAGCGGAGGCACGGGGCGAGAACTTACATCACTGCTAATATCTGGAAAACACAACAACTGAAAGCAATGGACTTGAAAAACAAACCACATGGGGACACGACCCTTCTTATGAATGGATCCAATGTGTGCATATTAGCATGTGAGCAGTCACTCTCTTCGTGTTTGTTATCGAGGCTCACTAATGTGCAAGGGCACAGGCTCTATACGCAGCACACGACCTACTGAGACTTAACGTGGAAAGAGACAATTATTGTACATTATTGGTGACTCCCATTGCAAAATACATGTGATAAAAAACATCAATGTATTCTTTTACTAGATTCTAAGCACCATTTCCTGTGTTACATTGGGTCGTTATACAATATAAAACAGTATAACACCATCCTCCTTAGAGGCAAGCAGTTTCCTTGGAGCTGAGCTGTCTCCAAAGTGATGGGCTTGGTAATGGCATGTCAGAATTGAGTCCACTCTCCATGTGTAGGTGGCATATATATGTGGAACTTGCCAGACAGGCTTGGATGGTGATGGGTTTGCGCATGTGTCAGACACCCGGCTGACCAAAAAATAAAAAGCCACATCTCCATCGCTAGGATGTTGAATAGTTTCAATAGATTTCCTTCTGAATGGCTTCCTAAGTGGGACAGATGGTGCTACTGAGTGCCACACATTCATTCTATGGATGGATTATTAAACTGAGTACCTAACATGTAGTGATGAGAAACCACCATGAAGTTTGCTAGGGATGTAAATTTGGGTCCAGCTTTTCTCTTTTAAAGATCAGAGATCCTTCCTTCCCAAGCTGCCAGGAGTAGTCACAGGATCACAAGCTCAGTCTGGATGAAGAAGGCCTTTCTTCCATTCAATATCATTCCTCCAGAATACCAACCCTCATCCCCCAATCACTACATCAAGCTGCTTTTTAAATGAGTCTAGAGTCCTGGTCTCTACCACCTTCCTGGCAACCTGTTCCAGTCACTGATTAGCTTCTGTGTAAATAAAATTTCCTGGTATCTGTCCCAAAATTGCCCTACTGTCTTGATACATCCTAAAGTATTGATCTGGGTTTGCCTTTTCAATCTGGGTTTACTTTTTCATGATCATATCCTGTATCTAACACTGCCTGGATCCACTGAATTGACAGAGACTACAAGTGCACACCATTCAGTAGAGATGTAAATATGAGATATATACACAACAGATTGTCAAGAATCTGGTTAATCACCTTCCAAATCCCCCTCCCATTAGGATAATGTATAAACCTTTCACCGGTAACAAATGGCTTTAAAAGCGAGGGGGAATTGGAGAACTGTTTAACCGTTTCTCTCTCCATCTGCATCCTACAATGACTGGAGGGCCAGAATTATTTAATATACATGCAGCACATTACGTCTGTCTGCAAAGATGCCAGTGCTATTGGGTTTTAAAGGGACGTGCACATCTAAATAAATAATAATAATAATAGCTGAATTTGATTACAACGCCGTTCACTTCAGGAGACATCTCAAAGCATTTCACAGGATGCACTGTAAAGTGGAGTGAGTGTTATTTGTGGTCGAATGCGGCAGCCAAAAAAGCCATGAAGTGAATGGTCATTGTGAACTCAAATGAGTCAGAATTGGACCAAATATTGATCAGCATGGAATATATATAGGACATTACTGATACATGGGGAGGGATGGGGAGAAGGGGAGCTGTTTAGGTTACATAAAACCCCTGAAATGCATGCAAAAATCCTGGCAGACTATTATTTTAAGGCTAACTTGTTTCTTTTTAAAAAAACCTTTATTAATTCATGAAAAAACAGGAAAAAAAAGTTTCTCAACCAGCAATAATGTTCTGCAAATTATTTAACTTATTGAGCCTTGTGTGTGACAGATGTTTGAGGCTTGAAATTCCTCGCGCTCTTAGCCTTAAGACCATCGATTGCCTTTAAAATTGAAGAACGTGCAGAATTTTGGAAAACAAGAGTTAAGTTCGGAAGCCGCCGAACGTTTGCCGAAGCTCACGGAAAAGAGCCCCGGGAAGCGGTTTCTAAATTAAGAACGACTTTGAGAATTTTCCAAGATTTCGCCTAATGTTAAATTTTGAGATTTCGGTCTGGACTCGATGAGCGTGAGAAAGTTTGCTCCTCAGGCTGGTTACATTTCCATTTGAGAAACTGACACAAGTGTCAAGGTTGTTGTCAAGAAATGGAGCAACCACAAAAGCCAACTGAACCCAAAATATCTCACTGTTGGAACTTTTTTGTCTCCGCTCATTTTTTAAAATTGATTCTTTCCCCCATGTTTATGCAGCTGACCGGAAAGGCACAGTTGTTGCTGACTTCAAAGAGGAATACGCTGCATTTATTATTACTAATAATTATAATAGATAGATAAATAATCCTTGCATTTGACATGGAGTCTAATCATATCATTGATATGTCTCAACAACAACACGTGCATTTATATAACGCCCTTCACATAGGATAAAGTCTTGGGGTGCTATACAATGGGTGGGCACTGAGCAAGGGAGGAGGGGATGGGTGATCATAGGCGCAGTCGAAGAGGGCGGCTTTAAGCTGGAATTTTTGTACAGAACAGGTGAGGTGGGGAGACATAAAATTCCACAGGTCTCAAATTGTAGGCGTATTTGTGGGCAAATTTGCTCACAGCAATGTATACTTTAACACGGACATAAATAATAAACTGAGGGACACTCGACAAGTTTTCTAAATTATGAAGGGTTTGGGATAATAATAATAATAATAAAAATAAAATTATGAAAGGTTTTAAATGAGGTAAATCGAGAGAAATTATTTCCGCTGGCCAGTGAATCGGCAAATGGAGGCCGTACATTGAAATGAAATAAATATGAATTCATAAAAGCATAAATTCATTGCCACACAAAAAAAAGGAAGAGTTTTTCTGTTTGAGAGTCTCCAAACCAAATTACTGAAAGTCTCACATTTGCGCGTGGCTTCCATTTGTCTGGCATGGAATCCACATTCTCTTCCCACAAGGTTGTAACCTGATCACTTAATCCTAGATAGTTTGGGAGGTTGGGCACTAACCAATTTTATTTGGGGGATTGTTGGCCAGGACACTGGGGGAAACTCCCTTCTCTTTTTGAATAGTACCATGGGATCTTGAATGTCCGCCTGAACAGGCAGAAGGGACTTTGGTTTAACATCTCAACCGAAGGACGGCACCTCAGACAATGCAATACATCCCCAGCGATGTACTGGAGTGTCAGCCTGGACTATACGAGTTCAAAGTATTGACGTGGGACTTGAACCCAAAGCTTCTGACTCAGAGGCATTAGTGTCACCAACTGAGCCAGGCCAATTGAGTCAAGATGCTACCTGTGAATAGAGATTTGGCCCACAAATATATGGTCAATTCACTTTCCAGTCTATTCTGTGAAGCGCTTTGAGACATCGAGAAGATGTGAAAAGCGTCAGATCAAATGCAAGGATTATTATTATTATTATTCACACGATAGGCTCTAAATAGGTTCCTGGCTGCATTAAGATCAAGGACTCAAACAAGAATCCTGGATGTAAACAAGTACATCTCCATAATGTAGGACTGAAACAAATGGGTGCACACAATAGGAAAGCTTCCAGAAAAACAGTGCGCTGATAACAGGAGCGGATCAAATCAGTTCCAAACAGTTTGTGGTTTAGGCTTAGCTGCCCTTTCTGATAAAGTAAACCAAACCGAAAAAGATCTCCTAGGAAAAGGAAAAGACTGTTATCTCTCTTACAGTGACCACAGGGCACCCAGTTCATAACAAACCACCAGATGTTGAACATGGTGGCGTGATGATAGACATGCAGAATAGTGATCTGATGGTAGTTCTTTCGTAAAATGAAGAAGAAAGTGTCCATGAACTCTATGACTTTAGAGAAGTAGTACCACCATAGGACACGGACAATCTGTGAAAAAGAGGAAATAATACACAGATGTAGTTTATCACTGTTTAAAACACCAGTCGCTTAACCAGCACAGGCAATGTCCAATGTGCATCAATTCATTTGTGTTCTTAAAAATAAATAAATGGATGAAGCAGGGTGTGAATCACTCTAGGCCCACAGTTTCATTACTCTTTCTGTGTCACTCGGGAAATTTTGTTTATCGAACGAGGCTTCTGGCGGAAGTCCAAAAACACTAACTCTGCGTTCTGTTTTGTGCCATTTTGAAGGATGGGTCACTGTAACCAGCACTGCTGGTGATCGTGATATCAACAACCTGACCACAAGCAAACCCTTTAATAAGTTCAAGCTTTGGACAGCAGAGCCGAAATGCTAGAGGACAAGTTCAAGTTACAAACGGAGGGCATGCTTTAAGCGATGCGGGGTGGGGAAGGGAGAATATTTGAGTGTTTTACTATAGAGGGACCGTGTTTTTTTAATAGAACAAATGATCGCTCTATTTATCAGTTGCAAATGGTAGGAAGTTCTCCTCATAAATGTTCCCAGCAACAATGCAGTTTAACATAGCAGGGGGTTTAAAGCTGTGCCATTGAAACAATATCACACCAGGCTGCAATTCTGTGCAAATGTTTCCTACAAAATCTGGACTGCACTACTGTTCTGGTGCTCAGTGCATTCCGCTATCACTTTGATAGAAATAGAGTGATAACGACACACAACAACAACAACAACAACAAGATTCCATTTATAGAGCGCCTTTCACGTCGGGAGGACGTCCCAAGGCGCTGGACAGTTGGGTCAGGACCCGAGCAGGGGGGAAATGGTTAAGGTGAGGGGAGGGAAGGGAGGGGGCGAGGAGGGGGTAGAAAGTTGAGAGGGGAGCTGAAGGCACGGTCACCTTATGCACTGGAATTTTACAGTAATAAAAACCCTATTTCACAACACAAGAAGATTGGTGTATGACGTTATTTATAATTGAATAATTATGTAATAATTGCATTGCAAACATATAACCCAACACATCCCAAAATTACCAGATCTTACACATGGTCTAATTTGTGGTATTCATCAATAGGAAATCTGAGCACTGTAAATGTTAGGTTGGCTCAATGGTAGCACTATCACCCCTGGATCAGATAGTGTTGGGTTCGAGCCCGATGGGGCTTTGAGCTCAAAGTCTAGACTGATACTCCATTGCAGTGTTGGGGTGCACTGCATTGTTAGAGGTGCTGCTCTTCGGATGAACCGAAGTTCCATTGCCTGTTCAGGTGGATGTTATACAGAAAATTGGTCATTCACTTCATGCACTAGTTGTGAGAATGCAAATTTGCCTACAAATGCACAATCGTTACATATAACAGAAAATTCCATGTAGGCACTTTCAACTATTTGGGTGTTGAGACTATTTCAACTTTATAGGTGCTGTATCAAATATAAAGGTAATGTCATGGCACATTAAAGAAAGCAATATCTGAGAAGAGAAAGGAATTTTTCTGTTGCGCTGGTCATCAATCCCCCAAATTAAAAATTTGGCCATTTATTTTTCGGCTGTTTGTGGGACAGTTCTTTGTGCAAATTGGCAGCCGCATTCACCCACTAATCCACAGACACATCACACCGCACTCAGAGACGTTTAGACATGTGAGGCACTGCGTCAAATGCAATGATAATTGAATTATAATGGTTAACAATGATAAATTATTAGATTATTATGAGGGACCCATTCTGGAAACTCATGCTATCCTCCAGGAATTCAACTCTGAAGCAATCCATTTCTAGAGCGCAGTTCCTGCGGGCTGACGGGAATTCTAATAGGATTGTTTCATTATGGAATCCTCTTAAGAAATATTGCAATTAAGGCACCAATGTTTATTGCTTCTTTCGGAGAGTCAAATCTACTGGGTACGTCCCGGTAAACATGTACAGTGTCTAAAGCAAAAATATCTTTTGCAATTTTCCTACTCAATTTGCAGCCCTCAATAACAAGAGAAAACTGCAGTTAATCATAGAATCAAAGAATCTTACAGCACAGAAGGAGGCCATTTGGCCCATCGTGCCTGTGCTGGCTCTTTGAAAGAGCTATCCACCTAGTCTCACTCCCCCGCTCTTATCCCACAGCCCTTCAAATGTTTCCTTTTCAAATACCTATCCAATACCCTTTTGAAAGCTACTGTTTAATCTGCTTCCACCACTCTTTCAGGCAGTCAATGCAACCAACGGGGAATTAATAATAATAATAATCTTTGCATTTGATATAATGCCTTATCAACAACAGCAACAACAAGATTCCATTTATAAAGCGCCTTTCACGTCAGGAGGGCGTCCCAAGGCGCTGCACAGTTGGGTCATGACCCGAGCAGGGGGGAAATGGTCAGGGTGAGGGGAGGGAAGGGAGGGAGCGAGGAGGGGGGAAATGGTCAGGGTGAGGGGAGGGAAGGGAGGGAGCGAGGAGGGGGAAGAGAGGGGAGCTGAAGGCTCGGTCAAAGAGAAAGGTTTTGAGACCGGCCTTGAAGGAGGAGAGGGAGGAAGCAAGGCGAAGGCACTGGGGGATAGAGTTCCAGAGCCAAACGTCATTGAGACGTTTCAAAGCGCTTCACAGAATATACTGCAAAGTGAATTGACTGTGTATTTTGTGAGCGAAACGCGGCAGCCAATTGCACATGGCAGTGTCTTACAAACAGTCGTGGATAGATTGACCAAATTATTATTTTGGGGGGGATTACTACCCCCTGAAAGCCTTCCGCTGATCAACTAACAACCTGGTTTCTACTTACTGGTAGGTAAACAGGGGTGTGTGGATTAAGGAAACTTGCTTAAGGTTTTGCCTTACCCGGGAATTGAACCTGGGTCCTCTTGCTTGCGAGGCGGGCCAGCTAACCCTACACTATGGGACTCCACTTTGGAAATTCAATTTGGGAATATTTAAAGTCAAGGACAGAACTGTGCTTCCACTTTCAAATGACAGTTTAGCCGTGTAAAAAGCAAATAAAACGCAAAGGTTAAAATTTACAATGCTCTCTTTGCTGAGATGGCTGTAGCTGAACGTTAAAGATTTATGTCTTTTAGAACTTCTGACATGCAATTACCTTGCCAAATTGAGAACTCCTTTGATAATTCAATGATAGTAATAAATAACAGCGATGGCTTATGCCACGTCAGTAGATAGCAATGCCCTTCACAGTACTTGAAGCTTTAGGGAGATCCAACTCTCTTGAGCATTTGCAATGTGGAAACACAAACAGATATTATCAAAGAGGAAATCTTTTGAACTGCTGGGCTAGATTTCAATCTGTAAATTGTATTCCAATCCACCTGATCTAATGTCAGCATATTTGCAGCCTCATAGGAATTGCTGCAAGTGTAGCGACTGTGTATTTGTAGGCAAATGTGGCATCCAATTTTGTGCGTGGGAATGTCCCCCATACAGGCACAATGTAGACAACCAATTTTATCTGTAGGATTGCTGGCCTGGAGCACGGGGAGAAGCTTATAGATATTTATGGCACAGAAGGAAACCGTTCAGCCCATTGGGACTACACCAGGTCTCAGAGCAAAATACTCCTTTCGCTTTTTCAAATACTACCATGAAATCTCTAAAATCCACCAGAATGGGCAGATGGGACATCGGTTTAACGTTTCAGTCAAAGAATGGCCTCTCCGACAATGCAACACGTCCCCAGCACTGTATTGGAGGGTCCGCCTACTGTGAGTTCAAAGTCCCAATGTGAGGCGTGAACCGACAAACTTCTGACTCAGAGGCGAGAATGCTACCAACTGAGCCAGGCCGGCACCTGATGTGGTGAAACAGGGGCCGTTTTTAAGAGTTTGTTCTTTGTGTCATCACAAAATAGGTCACTGTGCAGAATCCATTCATTTATCTGCAATGCATCAGATTTCCTTTCACATGAACCACATCAGGCGAAAAGAGTCATGGGTTCTTTAATACCCACTTGAACAGGCAGATGGGACCTCGGTTAAATTCTCTTACGTAAGTAAACAAAAATGGGTAGTTCCAAAAAAAAGGAAGAACATATTAATGAGACCACCCCAAAGTGACCGAGATGCACCCAGATATGTGTTTAAGAACGAGAGCTGCATTGACGATCCCATCACAAATATGTTTATAAATTTACCTTCAGATCAGCTTTGCCAGCACTGTGAGTATCCTGACAGAAAATGCTGTAGCCTCCTTCCCAAACCCCTGTCAACAGCTGAGGAAACAAAAAAACAAGTCTCTGTAAGCCGCTGTTAGTTTATTTTATAAGAGAAATTAAACTTGTACATGTATAATATGTGGGAATTTGCTAGTCGGTTGCTGTGTTCGCCTAACAAAATACAGTCACTACACTTTACACTTACATTACAGTATGTCCTGTGACGTGCTTTAGGACATCTGCTAATGTGAACAACAACAACCACAACGACAAAAACTTGCATTTATATAGCACCCCTCAAGCAGGGAGCTTCCCAGAGAAGCGCTATATCAAATGCAAGGCTTTTTTTTTATTATTGTAAGTTGGACTAAATAACAAGGGGAATAAAGACTCTTCGGCCTATCAAACGAAAATTCCTCGTGGAGCCCACAAACCGGCTGGTCTATCGTAGCCTTTACCATAGAGCCATGGAAATGTATGACCTGGTAGCAGGCCATTCGGACCATTATTTCCACGTTCCAAGAAGCCATCCACCCTAATCCCAATTCCCGTACCCTGTGATACCCTCCTTTGCATATGCTTACCCATTATTTTAATTTGCTCCCCCCACCGCCACCACCATTTAACCTCGCCAGGGAAGTTCTGCTAAGTTTCTCCACAATGTTAAAAAAAAACACATCTGGGAGCTGCGACTGAGCAGAGGTCAAGGATAACTTGCTGAGAGCTGAAGCGAGGAAGATTTCAGTTACTCAAGCTAGTATTTGCCCACTAAGAGCCTACCCACTCATCAGAGGCCTCAGAATCACCCTGTCTTGGCCTGCAAGATCATTTATTCTTAAAATTTCAGATTGGTCCGAATTGTGGAAAATTCTTCCAATCAGTCTTAGTTTAAAAGTCGGTTTGCCTGATTGATCCTCCCAACAATAATCTTTGCCTCTGATATTGCACAGTTCATGGCGAGAGAATGCCTTAAAGTGCTTCATAGGATTTGCTGTAATGTATAGTGTGTATTTTTGTAGGCAAATATAATAATAATCCTTGCATTTGACATAGCACCTAATCACATCTTCGAGACGTCTCAAAGCGCTTCATAGAATATACTGTAAAGGGAATTGATTGTATAATTTGTGGGCGAAACGCAGCAGTCAATTGCGCACAGCAGTGTCCCACAAACAGTCTTGGATCGAGCGACCGATTTTTTTAATCATTTTATTATTTTTTTTGAAGGAATTATTATCCCCGGAAAAGCGATCCGCCAATCGACTATCAACTGGGTTCTTACTTGGTGCTAGGTTATCAGAGGCTCATGGCTAAGGAAACTTGCTCAGTGTTTCACCCTGCTGGGAATCAAACCCAGGTCTCTCACTTGCGAGGCGAGTGCTCTAACGACTGAGCTACAAGACTCCACTCCAGGACTGTGTTTTTTGTGGGCAAAATGCAGAAGCCAATTGTGTGCATGTGTGTGTGTATATGTATGTATGTATGTATGTATGTATGTGTGTGTGTGTGTGTGTGTGTACGTACTACGAATGTATGTATAAATATACTACTTCAAGGGCTTTGAGTCATTCTCCCGATGTGAAAATTGCAATATAAATGTAAATTGTAGTACATTAATGATCCTTGCATTTGATATAGCGCCTTTTCTCGTCTTCGAGACGTCTTAAAGCGCTTCACAGAATATACTGTAAAGTGAATTGACTGTATTAAGTCATTATATAATGTATATAAATTGTATAATGTGAAATTATTGTATAATATGGTTTACTGGTCTGCTGGGAACATTGTCCTGTTTTACTTAAAAAACGCCACAGAATTTACCAAAGTTCACTGGAGATTTTCAGTGAATCAGGCCACAGGTGCAAATAAGAGCATGGCATTGCAGGTCCTTCCTAACACACGGTAATTAAACAAGTCTGCACTGAAATGGTAATTTATTAATGAATAAGGACCTTTACTTGGGACACAAAACAACACATTATTCAAACAGTTTGTACCCTGATAAAGTTGGCGTGACTAATCCTTACCAGGTTCCATCTGTTTGCTTGGCTCTAGGATGCAAGTTGAAATGGCTTAACTGTTTCCAGGTAACATTATTCTGAATCATACCACTGCCTTATCACTAGCCAAATGTTCAAACAGGGTTTAGACATTTTGGCAATCCCTCAACTACATTTCTTTTTGCATGGAATTGTATAGATTGTACAGCATTGAAAGAGACCATATGGCCCAACTAGTCTGTGCTCAACACTCCATATTGGCCTCTATCTCTCCAATTCCCCTCTACTCCCTTCCCTCTCATGCATAACTTCCTGGCCAGGGTGAAACCTTGGGCAAGTTTCCTTACTCCACACGCCTGATAATAATCCCTCAAGAAAAAAAAATTGGTCACTTCGATCCACGACTGTTTGTGGGATGCTGTTGTGCTCAATTGGCTGCCGCGTTTCACCCACAAATGCACAGTCTATTCTGTGAAGCGCTTTGAGACGTCGCGAAGACGTGAAAAACGCTGTATCAAATGCAAGGATTATTATTATTATAACGCAGTATTGAGTTCCACATTCTCACCACCCTCTGTGTAAAGAAATGTCTCCTGAACTCTCTTTTACATCTGCTGGTTGCTATTTTACACATTTTACATCGCTGTAGAGCCTATCATGGCGAGAGCGCGTCTCACCGTGCTTCACGGGACACACTGTAAAGTGGAGTGACTGCGTGCTTTGTGGGTGAATGTGGCAGCCAATTTCCACATCGCAGTGTCCCACAAACAGCCTCGGAGTGAGCGACTAATTTTTATTTGGGGGGATTTCTGGCCATGAAGGAGAAATTCCCTTCCCTTTTCCAAATTCGGGACCATTAACTTCCACCTAGACAGGCAGACGCCTCCTCAGTTTAACATCTCATCCGAAGGATATGAATCTGTCAAGAGGGAACCGGGTAAGCCATTGAGCTGTAAAAACATGAAGTGATAATGGGGTGGGTGTGGAGTGGCGGGGAGTGAGAGCTGGGAAAGAGAAACAGAACAAGAAGATGAAATCAATATATATTTTTAGAAAAATAGTTAACATTGGCATTGTTGAACCAGGTGAAGAGCACTATATAATATTGTTATAATTATTCTTATATAAATGCAAGTCGTGTTTGTTGTTGAATGGTCCCCATAGAATGTTTTTTCTATGATTTCTCCTCACACTATCTCCTCTAATTGCAGTGATTCATGTTGGGTCACGGGCACCAGTGGCCTCTGGGTATACTGCCCAGATAGCGATTGTTTATTTACAGGCGTCATACTCAGACAACGCACGTCAGTCACTGGGCTATTTCACAGCAGACAGCGTCACAGTAGAAGCCTGATGCTGAACTCGCTCAATATCCACACCCCAGCGCTTGCAATTGGACAACAATTAGGAATGGGAACCTTGGCTGCTTTTGCTTGGGATGAGGGTTGGGGGAGTGGCGGGGGGAAGGGGGAGAGCTGAACGACGACACCAAAGCCAATTAGTGCATTCCTCTCTGGTGCCTCTGACTGAGATTAGCTGACTCACTACAGACCAGGGGTCACAGCTAGAGACCTTCCTGACCTGGATGGGTCACTTCCACGCAAAGGCAATGCATTACTCCCCTCTCTCCCCCTCCCCCCACACACACCAAATGATTCATGCAACGCACATTAACATGAGGATCAGTTCCTATGGGAACTGGACAGACAACAAGAGAGAAAAGCAAACCGTGATGAAATTCATTTAGTGAAATTGACGTGCACTTTCACATACTTCTCACCTCATAAAACATGTATAAGGATAGGAGCGTTAATCCAATGTTATACACCACTAGTGTTCCCCTGCAAGACACAGGTGCCTTGTTCTTCATGTACTTTGGTCCAGCCCAGACCACGAAGAGGTATATGAGAGTGAGTAGAAAGGTCGGGGGATAATTATCTAGAAGTAAAAAACCCTCAACTCTGGGATCTGGAACAAGAGAAAAAATTCACGTTAGAACAACAATAATAACAACAGATTACATTGGTGTAACACCTTTCATGTCGGGAGGATGTCCCAAGGCACCGGACAGTCAAGGATTTGGTCCCAAGCTGGGGGTTGGGATCAGGAGGGGCGGAGGGCAGGGAGGGTAGGGATAGGAGGGTGACCGAAGGCAGGGTCGAAGAGGAGGGTCTTGAGACGTGCCTTGAAGGAGGCAAGGAAGGGACCAAGGAGAAGGAGTTCCAAAGGGTGGGGGAAAGAGGCTGAAGGCATGACTGCTGATGATGGGTCAGGCCGGGCGGGGAAAGTGGAGGAGGCTGGAGCCTGCTGAGCGGAGTGAGCAGGCAGGTCGATAATGGTGTTAGCAGGTCACAGAGGTAGGAGGGGGCAAGGCCATGGAGGGCTTTGAAAGTGAGGACGAGGATTTTGAAGTCCATCCTCTGGGGGATGGGGAGCCAGCGGAGTCGGACGAGGGTGGGGGTGATGGGGTCACAGAGCCTGGTGCGGGAGAGGACCCAAGCTGCAGAGTTCTGAATGATCTGCAGCTTGTGGGGGGAAGAGTTGGGGAGGCCGACAAGGAGGGAGTTGGCGTGGCCGAGCCGAGATGTAACAACTCTTCACCAATGCGTTCAAGTCGAGCAGTGTTTACAATTGTAGCTAAGCATTTAAAAAATGTGCTTAGCTTCCAAAGTACGCTGGGAGATGACACACACAGCATTACGCGTCAGGGAGGGCTTAACATGTTTTGTGACATGTAAGAAATAGGTTGCAGCTCAGCATTATCTTTTACCACAAATTGGGAAACCGCTTGGAAAACTCACAGCATAATAACAATATTTCACTCGAAACAGCTGTGCAACACTGAACACATTAACGCACCCCAGTGAAAATAAACCCTTTTTTTTATACAGTGCTCTTAATGGACTGAAAAATGGCCATTATCTAATCTACAGACTGACTAAACCTTAATTCCCTGGCATTAAGCAAATCGGTACGGTTCAATGCTCTGCTGACCACAGCTAGGCAACACGTTTTTCACTTCGCTGCACAGCATCTGAGAGGAAATTGTCCAACACAGGCAAACTGGCAACGTTGTACGGAGCATCTCAAACAACAAAGGATGCACACTGCTCCCTTCTTTTTCCCTACAGGAAAGGGCGCACTATTAGTTTATAGCTGTCAATCTGTAATTATGAAGTAAGATATTTAATTAATGTCCCTCGCGCCCTCCGTTCCACCATTGGCGGCCGCACTTTCAGCCATTGCGCTCCGAAATTTCAAACAGTCTTCCTCTATCCCTCCGTCTTGCCCCTTCCTTCCCCATTTTCAGGTCACGCCTGAAGACCTTCCTATTCGACCGAGCCTATGGTCACCTCCCCCTCCCCCCAGCTCGCATCGTGCTCCACCACTGTCAGAAACACTGGAACGCTATCCTGTGCGAGGGGCAATTTGACATAGCAAATTGACATTCAAGTTGTTATTGTTAATCAAAGAAATTTCAACAGAGATGTGAGGCTTCTTGCTCATTTATTTTTTTGTCAGCTGGGTGTCTGACTCCTGTGGAAACCCATTGCCATGCTTATGAGTATCCAAAACAGACTGAGAGATCCACAAAAGTATGCCACCTACACATGAAAATTCCCGTGTCTGGTTCGCCTACAAAATATCCTGTCACTACTTTAAAAATTGGTCACTCAATCCAATGGCTGTTTGTGGAACTAACTGACTGCGTGTTTTGCCCACAAAAAACAGTCAATCCACTTTACAGTATATCCCCTGAAGCGCTTTTAGACATCTCAACGACTTGATAAGTCTCTATATCAAATACAAGGATTATTATTTATTATTATTACTGTGTAGTATATCCTTTGAAGCACTTTGAGAGGTCTTTCTGATGTGAACGCTGCTATGCCAAATGTTAGGATTATTAATATTATCTTGGATATTGGGATACTGCTAAAGCTGCAAAGCTTACAGCTTACTTTGTTTTAGATAAATGACATAGTAGCTACAGCAATGAAAGAAGCCATTCGGCCTACTAGTTCATGGAGGTGTTTACATTACACATGAGCCTCTCTCCATCCCAATCCTCTCTAGCCTCCTCCCGTGCTTCTCTTTTTATTCCCTTCTCTCTAATGTATGGATCGAGCTTCCTCTTAAATGCACTGTTGACATTCGCGGGTTCAAGCTCCATATCAGCACTCTGAGCTCACAGTCAAGGCTGTCACTCTAATGCTGTCCTGGCTTGGTGTTGCATTGTCGGAGGTGCTGTCCTTCAGGAGAGATGTCCTTCGGATGACATGTTGAATAGAGATCCAGAGAATAGAGGTGGATGTTAATGATCCCACGTGGCACTAGTCACACAGAGAAGGGAGTTTCTCCCGGTATCTTGACAAAAAATCCTCCAAATAAAACTGGTCGTTCATTTCTTTCATGGCTGTTTGTGGGTCATTCCTGCGCGCAAATTGCCTTCTGCGTTCAATGAAAAAACATACAATCTTTACATTAAACGTGTTGAGGTGCTTGATGGTAGGCCGATAATTCAGACAAGTACCAGATCATTTTGTTTCAGGAAGTACAAATTTACGTATATAGAAAAAAAATGATACCACTCAACTATTGAGACCAAAATTCGGAATGTGAACAGAAGGTGTGATGTAGCTTTTGACGTTTTCTTGCTAGCACTAGATTGAGCTTCTCATCAAAGGGATTCTGTATTTCTAAAAGGTGCACATTCAACCTTCAATTCCTCATTTCTTTCCTCCAATATTTTTAACGCTTGCTCACTCATCCTTTGCAGTATAATTGCAGACGAGGCAAATCGATTCAGCCTTCTCTCAGAAAGATCAAGTACCTATAATGGTAAATCGCATTCATTCATTACAATGAATGAGAAGGTTGTTCCGACCAGAACTCAGACCTTATTCCTTCCCTGGACTTTACCCAATAATAATAATCTTTACATTTGATATAGTGCCTTATCACGTCATTTCACCTGGGCATTGTTCATACTCAGGGATTGGGGTCCGTTTCTCAACATCTGTGCTGAGCTCTGCTAGCAGCTTTGGAGAAACTGTAGGGAAGTCAGAGCCTGTTAGTTCCTCCATTGGGCCAACGTTGATAGAATGATTCTCCTAGGATAATGGTCTTGTAGTCAAACTTCTCATAGTAGATGTAAACCTTCAAAGCTCTTGAGCACTCCAATAAATCTCCCTTTCCCACCCCCTCACCCCACACAAAAACAAAGGGAATTTTTATCAAAGAGCCAGAAACGGGAAGTTAAAAAAAATTCCAGTTTCCAGCTCCAAATTGGTCTAGGGATGAAAGCAATGGAGGTGAAAATATACTTTCATCAAAGATTTGATTCAATTGGAACCCGTTCTGGAATTTGATTTAAGACGTCATATTTTGTCGTCTACTATGAAAGACTGGCATCTATCTTCTCCCCTCCCCCAACGAACCCAATGATTTGAGTAAGAATCATGGCTCTGAAAACACCACTATTGTCATCACTTCCTAATTGCAAAGAGCAACGTATCATTGCAGCTTCATGGGAGTCAGGATGTTGTGAGTTCAAGCCCTTCATTGGGACTTTGAACTCTTTGAGTCTAGGCTGATAATAATAATAATCATCCTTGCATTTGATATAGCACCTTATCACGTCGTTGAGATGTTGCAAAGAGCTTCACAGAATATACTGTAAAGTGTAGTGACTGATCGTCCAATACACTGCTGGGGGAGCTGTGCACTGTGGAGGTGCAAATGTTAAACCAAAATCCCATCTACCTGTTCAGGTGAACATTAAAGACCTTGCAGCCTTATTCAAAAAGAGAAGGGAGTTCCCGGAGTCCTGGCCAACATTCCCCCATATAATATCAGTCATTCACCCCATGGCTGTTTGCTGGGACACTGCTGTGCACAAACTGGCTGCCACTATTGGTTTCCCTACACAGTCAATATTCAGTAAATCCTGTGAAGCACTTTGAGATGTCCTCCTGATGTCAAAGGTGCTGTATCAAATGCAAGGATTATTATTATAGCAGCATAACTCAATCAGTACACGATGAATCAGGAATTAATTACCTATTATAGGATCAGGGTAATGAAATGGTACTGCTTTAAAGAGGAAACCCAAGCTGGGGTACCAAATGTTGAAAGCAGGCTTTGCGACCACCCATTATTATTAATAATAATAACCCTTGGATTTGACAACACCTTATCATGTCGTTGAGACATCTCAAAGCGCTTCATAAAATATGTTGTAAAGTGGATTGACTGTGTATTTTGTGGGTGATAAGTTGTAGCCAATAGTGCACAGCAGTGTCCCACAAACAGTTGTGGATTAAATTTTGCTTTTGAGTGATTATTACCCTCGGAAAGCGATCCGCCAATCGATTAGCAACCACGTCCCCAGCTTACTACTAGGTAAACAGAGATGTGTCGAGTAAGGAAACTTAAGAGTTAGGCCTAAGGTTTGCCCCACCCGGGAATCGAACCCCGGGTCCTCTCGCTAGCGAGGTGAATGCTCTAACCATTACGCGACAGGGCTCCATTATGAGTTGCAACCAAGACTGAGGGTGGTGGTGGGGAAGGGGGTGGGGGTGGTGGCTGGGATAACACAGATTTTACTAAATACTGAATCTGTTATGAAACATCCCGTTGGTTCCAACAATGTGCAAGAAATCCTATTGTGAGACGGTGAAGCAGTGAAACTGTCAGTGTGCTATTCTATAAATATGAAATCTCTTCACGTTACAGATTATCAACATCAACTGCTTCATGCGTTACCATAAGACAACAGACATTTTTTTGCGGGCGGAGGTGGGGGGAGGGATGCGTCTAAGTGATTAAGTGCTGCCTCTCTACAAGGGAAATGGCATTTAACTCCTCCATGCCCAGGATATTGTACTTAGTGCACTTTTGAGTTTGATGTGAATCTCATTGCCTCACAGGTTTTCTCTGGCCATGAGATCATTAACCAAGTTTCT